CCTTCTAGTGTGCCCACGTCCCCCCACATCTTAGTGGCATCAGCAAATTTGAACAGGTGCTTTTCACCCCCTCGTCCAAATCACTGATGAAGATGTTGAACAGCGCGGGCCCGAGGACCGAGCCCTGTGGGACCCCACTGCCTACATCCCTCCAGGTCAAAAATGACCCGTCCACCACCACGCTCTGGGTGTGGCCCCTCAGCCAGTTGGCGACCTAATTGACTGTGTGGGTGTCGACACCACAGTCCCCCAGTTTCTTAATGAGAACAGGAGGGTCTGAGGGGGCAGGTCCAGAGAGCGTGGGGGGGAGGGTCCTGGGCCATGTCTGGGGAGAGCTGCAGGGGCTTGTGGGAGGGTCTGTGATATCAGGGGGCCATTGGGGGGTGAGGGTGACTGGGGGTCCCAGGCCAGGGCTGAGGGGGTTCCCTGAGGTTGGGTGAGCTGTGGGGGGATCCTTGAGTTGGAGAGTGATGGGGGGGTAGGGGGCCTTGGTGGATCTTGGGGGCAGGGCCAGAGGTCAGGTTGGGGGTCATGGGGGGATCCTAGCAGAGCAGGTTGGTGGGGGATCAGGGTACTGTGGGGAGTCATGAGGTCAAAGAGCAAGTCGGGGGGATTTTCAGGGGTCAAAGGACAGGGTGGGGGTATTGGGGGGGGTCAGAGGGCCTCATGGCCGCCCGTAAGCTTATGGAAGAGCTGCTCATCAGGGACAGGGCTGGGGCCAGGGCCAGGGCGGGCACGGGTGGACAGGAAAATGTAGCCGCCCAGGAATTCATGCAGCACCTTGCACCCAGCCGAGACCACTGCGAACGCCACGTTGATGTGCTCGTCAAACTCGATGGCCACCTGGAAGGAGGGGTGAAGTGAGAACCCTGGTGTCTGGGCTCCCAGTCCCACTACTCCCATGCTGCAGGTCCCACTCCTCCCCCCGGGAGCCCAGGCTCCAGGCTCCCCAGCCCTGGCTGCCTGCTCTTAACGGGCTTCCCCAGGGCTGGGAGACAACCCAGGCCTCCGGGCTCCCACAGTCTGCCCCTGCACCTCCTCCCCCTTCCCCCGCCATCCCCTCCCCTTCCCTCCTGGGGCCTAAAATAGCCATTTCCCTTATAAGCCAGTCCAACTGGG